TGGCCATTCCCAGCTTATGTACAACTCCTTTGTAAGGGGTTGGTCATATTCAGACCCTTCTGGCTTGTCTTTGCTCACACACTCAACCACAGAGCGGCTGAGGTTGGAAGAGACCTCTGGAGATTGTCTGGTCCAGTCCACCCACTCAGGCATGGCCAGCAGCAGTCTGCCCAGGTCCATGCCCAGTCAGCTTTTGAATCTCTCCAAGGATGGAAATTCTACAACCTTCCTAGTCAGCCTATGCCACTGCTAAGTCACTCTCACAGGGAAAAAATGTTTTCTGATCTTTAGATGGAACCTCCTGTGTGTCAGTTTGTGCCTATTGTCTCTTGTCTTGTCACTGGGCACCACTGAGAACAGTGTGGCTCCATCCTCTTTGCACCCTCCCTTCAGGTATTTATACATACTGATAAAATCCCTCTGAGCTTTCTCTTCTCTAGCCTGAACAGTCCCAGCACTCTTGGCCTTTCCTCATATGAGAAGTGCTCTAGTCCCTTACTTTGTGGCTCAAATACCCAGAAGATTTTTGTGTTGAAATGGTACTATTTTCAGATTCTATGAGTATTTGAGGTTTTGAAGTGTCTCAGTTGCTTGAAGGACACCTAAATCCACATGGCCGTACTCTTCTGGAAGGCACAATAGCAGAGGCCTGGCCAAATAATCACATGCGGGGCCTGCAAACATACAGCCTTGTGTTTATGGGTAGAGGGAAACATTACATTAGAGGTTTCTGAGGAGCTGCTGTGCTGTCAGATGATTATCTTCTTTGTTCCCAACTTTTATTAAATATTCCTGGTAATAACACTGTCTCCTATCCTCAGCTAAGCTATATTTCACCTCTCTCCAAAGTACTTGGTTATTGGCTAACACATACAGTAGACAGCTAAGACTAAAAAGAGACTGAGCAAAGTGTTAATGTATTTATTACCCCTCAGTAATGCTGGCCAGACAGTTGTCAGTCACGTGGGAAGATGCTGGCCTCTGTTGCTCCTTTGGAACTGTGGCTCAGGATTGCAGAGTTGTTACCTGGCAAGTTCCTGGGTCTTTCTGCCTAAGGTTTATAACTTTTCATGTCAGTATTGTTTCCTCTTGGATTCTTTGACTGCTAATTACTGCTATCTCTACAACTCCACTTCTGTTTGTGTTTTTACTTACCTTGTGTAATGTTAGCTAGTGTACTTTTTTGCATGTTACCAAAATTTTTCTCAGTTAAGGTCACACAGTTGTACTACACCAACCCAGGCCTTGGATCACTGAGAGCTGAAACACAAGACTGGGGATTCCACAGAGTCGTTGTCGGGTTGGTTGATTGTCTCACTTCTCCACCCCACTTTGCACCACCCCCACCCACCCAATTTTCCTCTCAAAATAAACAGTTCTATTTCCTTATTGCCTTGCCTTTATTAAATCTCTTCTCAGTTTCTCCAGGCTTAACTAGTTTCCCACAAAAGTTCTTCTGAACTGCAGCAGATTCTGTGCCCAAGAAGTTTTAAGTTCCCCAAAGGTCATCAAGTTGACTTGCTACTTACCCTTTTATCATGGGAAGTGTGTGAGGTTAACAGACCACATTTATCTTGGGCTACAAACATATTTGCAAATCTGGCTTAAAGTGCTGAGTTAGAATAAGGTAATAGCTGCTTTGCCTTTTCTCAGATGGCACAAGACACTGCAAAATTAGTAGTAGATCTGGTCTGTTTGCTTAACTTGTAAGTAAATGCTACTAAAGAACAGGTAGTAGAATACTGCGTGCTGTTTTCTTCCTTTTCTTATAAACAATTCAGATGTTCTCTGTGTCTAAAAAAAAAAAAAAAAAGTCCATAAATAGTGGAACAAGGAGAGCCTGTCTTCTTTCAGATTTTCCTCTCAACACTTCTGTAGATTCTTTGAAGCTTAGTAGTAGGTGAGCTTTTACTGCCAGCCCAGCTTGCCATCAGTCTCTTTACACTCTCCCTTGTCTCTCTCCCGATTTCCTATTTTCATGGAAAAGTAGTTAGCTGGCTCAAAATATCTTCCACCGTGTAAAAATTTTATTGAAGTTGATCAGAAAGTTCCGAAATTACCAGGTGGCCAGTCAAGCAGTGATGATAATTTTATTGTCATGGGAAACACTGTCTCCCTGATGCTTTAGTCAGTATTTGTTAAAATGAATCTTGAGGGACCAAGGTGGACAGCTCTACAGTTATACATCTTAATTGCAGAAAAAATTTCCATTGTTTCATGTTTTCTTGTCTTATCAAGATGTTGCATGTGTCAGTTTCATGTTTTGTTTTTCTTTTTTTTTTTTCAAATATTTTTAAGAATCTGTCAGTTATAATGGTCTTAATGAATACTACACTGTACATATTCCAAATACATAAAAAGAAGTGATGTTAACTTGTGCTTTTACAACCTGAAAGATAACATGTCAAATTTAATATATTCAAAACCAGTAACTGACAACAAGCAGATGGCAGTTAAATAGTATGAAAATAAAACAGAGACAGTTTTTGTTAATCATTGACGTGGCTTATTCTCAGAAATTTGGGAAGTTTTCATTCTATTTGAAGTCATAAGAGAGATGAAAGGGCAAGAATTTTGTCTTTATGATAGTGTGCATGCATTGTATTTCCCATGTCCTTATTAAAGCACAATGAATTTCCAGAGTTAGTGTCTTAAGTTCCTACTAAAACTTCCCAGATTGCTATGGATTTATTAACGTTTGTAGTAGTCACCTTGAAAAATATATCTAAAGATATGTACGAATGTAAGCAGGATTCATTCTCTTAATTTACCACCCCCAGCTCAGGATTACTGGGCTGAAATCAGTGCTTTGGAACTTCTAATACTGAAACCAGTATTTATCTGGAGAGGTGTTTTTGTCCGTTGCAGATGGGGAAATTTAAAAAAAACTTAAAAATAGGTCATTCTGATTAATATTATATTTTTATTTCCTGTATTTTTGTTTGATGTGATGTGCTCAGCTATGGTGCATTATCTCACCAACTACTAGAGAAAAGTTCTAATTTGCTGTCCTGAGCACAAGAAATTGATATTTTTTTACTTTCGTGTTTTGTGATGTAGCAGGTGCTAGAGAGATCTCAAATTAGTGTAATTTTTATTTATTAATGGAGTTTCCTAAGCGTGTACTTAAGGTACATGACTTGTACAAAGACTTTAACAAATACAGGAGAAAACTGGAGAGCACTTTTGAAGATGGGTGTTCTTGGAAAATTGATGAGTTTCAGCATATTGGAAATATTCAGTGTTCTGAGAATCAGGTGAGTACTATCTCAGGTGCTGGTATGGGGACTCTGTAGTAATTGGTAGGTTTATTTCTGTAGCCTTTGCTCAATATTTTTCTCAGATGCAGTTTATAGTAAGAGTAGTAAACTTGTTTTTTCTCTGATTCTTGAGAAATGAAGTCACATATAGAACCAGTCTGGTGCACTTGAATAGTTCTCATTCATTTCTGATTGAGGGAACATATAAAAGTCATGATCTGTATAATTACAGGAAATCCCTTATGTTTGTATGTATTTCTATGAATATACATTAATTACTGATTGTATGTATTTTGTACAAACCTTATGGCCTAGTTTTTGATTTGAGGACTCCAAAGCTTATTAAAACAATTACTTGGTTCAGGTGGCAAAACTCTGCATGACTTTAGCTTTGACTTCACTGCCAGATAGTCTGAAGCAGACACGCCAGTAGTGTTCCTGCATGAGGCTGTCAGGCGTGTGCAGACTTCTTGCCTTTGAGTGAAGCTACACAGTGCAAAGGGTGCTGTGAATTTTATTTCAGCAGGCAATATTCTCTCCTTACTTTTGTTCAGAATTTGTATAACAAAATGAAACAAAAATTACATGTTCCTGCACACTCTTTCTGTGTAGAAAACCTCTGTGATACAAATGCCTTCTTGGAGAAGTGTACCCCATTTTTATACCAAAACTTAGGTAATTTAGATACAATTAGAAAGAATATTGCATAATAAACAAAGGATTTAACTCTGGATCAATACAAAAATTTTTAAATGACATTTTTCTTTACTGTTATTTCCAAACTCTAGCTCATGCTTAAAGGCAGTTGTCAACAAAGGGCTGACTTCATGAATATGTAGTCTTTTAGTAGCTACATTTACTAATTAGGTTTCTTAATTTTAGCGCAGCTGAAACTATTATTTGTTCATGACTTTTGATCCGCCTTTGGTTTTCAAGCTGATATAGAAAGTTTAATCAGTCAAATGTTTATTTTAGCAGTTTGTGCTTGTGTGTCGACTTTTCCAGTGCTGTTCTGTGTAGGGCAAGTTCTTACTGTTGTGCCATAATTAGCAAAGCTCATCAGGTGATAATAGACTTTCAAATGCTTTTAGAAATGAGTACAGTGACATTTATTTTCCTCAGAGTAAGTCTAGGTGACAGACTGCCAAAAGTAAACTTGGGTGTTTGTCACTGTTGTTCTTATTGTTAAGTTTCATGTGCAAAACTTCATGTTGGAAAGCAGTATATTGTTATCTACTGGTGCAGTTACTAGCTCTGTTGCATAGATTTCACGTGTTTTGAATCAGATGTTTGAGCGTATGAGATTTTCATTCCATTAACTAATATTTATAATGAGAAGAACAAGATTTGTTTCCCTTCTGTGACCAGGAATTACTTAATAGCAAGGACATCAAAGTGTGTAGTAATATAAAAGCAGTGAAAAGTTTAACATGGTGCCGCTGGTCTCACTGTGTACAGTTAAGAGCAATAATGTGATTGCCAAGGGAATTACTCAGATTTAAATGAGTCGGAAGAACCGAAAGGGAACATAATTCAAAACGTGGACCATGCATGGTCTGTAATAATTGACCTTCGTTTCATGGCATTAGGGCAACAAAGAGATGCCAGATTTATTGGCAATACTTGTGACTAGCCAAATAACGGAGTTTTCACTTTTTTTTCTTCTTCTTTTTTTTTTTTTTTTTCTTTCTCCTGGGTGTTGCAATACAGCCTAAGGGAATTTATGTCTTCGTTTTGCAGGTCAAGCCTTAAAGATATCAGCAGAGGCATTTACCAGTGATCCCTGCTATCTGCCTAAGAGGCAGGCTGTTGTCCAAGCAGCGCGATCTCTGCTTACAGCTGTCACAAGGCTCCTAATTCTGGCGGACATGGTTGATGTGGCGTACTTACTGGAACATTTAACTCTGGTGAGTAGAGTTTGACTTAATTCAGACTCTTTAGCCAGAGAAGTGTCTGCTGATGGTTCGTTCTGCATTGAAAATTCTTTTTGTACTTGTGAATCACAGATCTCAGGCACATGACACCTTGGAAGTTGGTGAAAGTGTAGATTGTAGGTGAGATTTGTAGAACATATTAAAAAAAAAAGTCTTTGAGGAAGCAGATGGTTATCCACAGTTACATTTCAACATCCTTTTGTTTCTGATTTCCTATTTTCTTACTTGAGTTGTTGTATAGCTTTCTATGCATGAAACCTTGATGTTTGTGGCAGTAGTAGGGAATAATTTATTTGTAGAGCATCTTAAAGGTGGAATTTTATGTGGATATTTATGAAGGGAAAGAACTGAGTAGGTAAGGGTTTATCTCTGTATTCAAGTCCGTTTGTGAGAGAGATGAGTTAAAAGGAGAGCGAAAAGATGTGTAAGAAAGGCCTCCTGCAGCTCCCTAGCTCCAGCTATATATTTGTACACTGCAGACAGAAGACTAGAAAGTCCTAATGTTGGCAAAGCTTTAAAAGCTCCTCAGTTTTTTCACTCGAGGGAATAAAGTGTTTTGGAAGCGCGTATCATAATAGTGCTATGTTTTGCATCATCTTTTTTTTCCACCTGGCTCTCTTTATCTGGAAGGGATGGGTTCATCTTCTATTCCCATTTACAACGAGCCAGTGGTTGTGCCACTATTGCTGAATTAGGCAAAATGTCTGCACTTGTGTTGTTCAACATCCAAATACTTTCCTGTCTACATAAAGTCAAGTTCCTTTCATGTCAGCCACAGTGTCCCATGTGAGCAGGCTTCTTCCCTTTTTTTGAACAGTGTGATTTTAGTCTTGCCACCATCACATGTCTGACCACAAAAATGTGTTTACTGAGTTTCTTCTCTGGCTGCTTACTTCATTCAATCTAGTGTGTGTCTTTGCTGGAAAGAGCAAGGAATTGTTCTATTTTTGTTTCCTTTTTTTTCCTAACATCTTCAGTAATGTGTGACAGACTGATTAAAAAGTCAAAGTTCTGTTGATTTCTTAATGTTTCAGGGCAGAGGTGAATGATCAGTGCCACCTCTAATAATGGCTCATGCCGCAAGAGGACTCACTGACCTAAAGGGGACCATTTTGAAGCAAGTTCAGTTTGAGGACAAGGGATGAAAATTTAGCTCCCTATTGGAGTAGGAACAGTATTTGATAATGAAATAAGGTTGTGTGGGTTTCAGTGCTGTGTTTGAAACATCCAGTGTTGACAGTTGTTGGATATGCATTGTAGGCTAAATGAACATTGACTTACAGAAGAAGCTTCTATGTTGTCATATACGTATGAAATTTGTCAGCTGTAAGAGGAGTGACCTATGTCTTTTGTACTGTTCATGGAAAATTTTCTTAAATTATGATATTTTTCATTGGTAGCCTACTACATTTTTGCACACATATTTTCTAAAATATTTTCAGTATGTTTTACATGAGAGAACTAAAATTGGGTAGTCTTCTTTCCTAGAGTTTCAGTATTAAGCAACCATATTATTCACTTCACAATTTCCATTTGAAAATGAAAACAAACAATAGCTGAGAATCATGAAAGAATGCAATGTATAATTCAGGAAAAACTCTAACACTGCAAGGAGTGCGATTTCAGTTTTCTTCTCTTTCCATACTTTAATTTAGTTCTCTTGATATGAGTGAGAACTGAATTCTTCAGTTAACTCCTACAATAAATAAGTATGGCATAAGACTCTCCAAAATTCCTATGTAAAAAGGCTCACCCTAGACCTTAAAGGAAAGTGGTACATTTTCCATATTTATTAAGTCTCTTCCCTGGCTGTTGGACTTGCCAACAGTGGTATTAGCTGTAATGGTGTCTTTTTATGTTGACATCTAATTAGGAAATTGACTTTGAAGATAGAGTAATTTCAACATATGCTACTGAATATCCTTCAGTTTATAACAAATTTCTGTCATGCCTATCTGAGCCAGCTTTAAATATCATTAAATATTTTAATGAGTCTTAACTTTGCTCTTTTCAAAGTCCTTAACTCTAATTGTTATACTTTAAAACTCCCTTAGGAATTCAGTTCTTCTTCAGTGTGGACTTGCTCCAGCAAAAAGACATTGTATTCACATAGTTGCTGCAGCGTAGAAAGTAGACCTTGACTTGATTGTATCAGCTTTAATATCCTCAATGTTTGCATGTTCATATGACTTGAAAATCAACTCTTTAAAAGTCATTAGAAGTTTTTCTTTGAACTTCCTCTAAAATTTTAATACTTCTACCATTTTATCCTTTTCTTCAGATGTGGATGTTACAGCTGTTATTAATCATTTAAAGATGAGAAATTTAATTGCCCTTTATTTCCATAACTCTGAGCTCTATAATTGCCATAGAATAAAATGCAGAAATGTAAGAGACTGAGCCAAAATTATTTTTAAAAATGAAAAAGAAAAAAACATAATAGTAATAGTAAAATAAATGAAAATTCTAACCAAGGATTTTTTTTGTTTGTTTGTATGTATTAAATGAAATAAATTGGTCCAGCATCATCAAATAACTTTGTAGAGTATTAATCAGATCTTACTCAATATGGAAGTATTTCATGGGCAGTTATCTATTTACGTACCTAATATTTTTCAAACCCATTTATCAGAGTGCTGAAAGTTTTTAGTCTTGTTCACTCAGTAAAGCTGGTTAATTCCAACACTGACATTCAAAGCATTTGAAATCATACTTCTATTGACAGAATGCAGTGTGAATCATTAAACTTTAATTTCCTCTGTAATCTGTGAATAAAAATAGAAAGGAAAGAATGACAATGTGACTATCTGTCATACAAGGCCTCATCTAGTGTTACCTGTCACATCTGCCATTCTAAGTATATCTAGGAAAAAAGATGAAGCTTAGCTACCTCCTTCCAGTTCATGTAGTCTATAAGAATATTGTTTTCTGTACACTCTACTTAGACTTTGGACTGGTTTTGACTTTTGTTTTATATAAAGTTTTTATTACATAGAGTATAATGCTGAAAATACTGAATAATTTTGTTCCAAAAAATATCGAAATTAAACTTTTAAACTAGAAGTAACAGGTAAGTCTTTTTGGAAGATTTTGATAAACCTGTGAGGAATTTCACTCCAGAAGTCCAAAAACATACCTTTGTGAATATGGGATTAGCTTTTATGAAATTTCACTAATAAAGCAGAGAGAATTTTGTTTGTTTTATGGATTCTATAGAATTTCCACCCAGCAAAGCGTGTATCAAATAATGTATGTTAGAAGCCAGTACAAATTCTCAGTGACTGATCATATTCTGGCACAGTATACTTCTAGCTGTTTGTGGAATTTACAGCCTTATAAGAGTATGATGGTGCGGTGCAAACAGCAAGCTCATTTTTAGAGTTGAGAAAATAAAGTACATCACACTGATAAGAAAGGTTATGCTTCTTTAAACAACTTAACTTTTTTTTAAACAGGGAAGAGTTGAAGTAAATAGCTGTCTGTATCTGAGTTGCCATACTTATTTAGAGTTTGAAGTCTCTAATCAAAAAAATGAGTTGTGAAAAATGTAGTCAGACAAAGGGCTATCTCATGTATTGCACTCTTTGATTCAGAGCTGTATTACCAGCCCCATTCATTATGGCTAGCAATGCTTGATATTGTTTAATTAAGTGAATTAACAGACTAATGGAATTGCTTGAATTCATTGATCAGAAGAGAACGGCAAGAAGGTAACAAGTTCTGAGAATTTCATTTAAAGTGCTTTGGCAGTCTGTCTTTCTCTAATCTATTTCAGATCATGCTGAGCCAACATGTTTTATCTGCCTTTTTTCCCTTCTTGTCATGCTTGTAGATTTACTGTTTAAGTCTTCATATTTTTCATGAATGCCTCAGACAGCATGATCTTTATAAAATGCTTGCTTAGAGTTATTTAAAACTTTTGCCAGGAAAAAAAAAATGAGAATGGCTACAGACAAGAAGCAACTTGTGAACTTGGGCCCTGTGGGCCTGTTCCTCCATTCCCTGCAGAGTATTCATCAGCATTAAAAATGTTTTGAGCAGGAGAAAAACAATATTAATACCCAAGAGGGGTAAGTCATCTCAGGCTTAACTACACTTCAGGTTTAGGTATGTGGTTTGACTTGCATAACTGCTTAATCTAGAATTTGGCTTGCTACCTACATTATTTCCTGACTGTTTTGGTATTGTGCTATCATGCAATAAAACATTAAAAAAAAAAAAAAAAAAGGCAAACCAGAATGTGAGCTACTCTGGGGGTGTAAGGCCTGGTTGTGAAACTGAAAACGGTCAGAATCATAGAATCCACTTAGGTTGGAAAAGACCTTTAAGATCAAGTCCAACTGTTAACCTAACACTGCCAAGTTTACCGCTAAACCATGTCCCTAAGCGACACATTTACACATCTCTCAAATACCTCTAGGGATGATGACTCTACCACTATAGAAACATTTTTTACTGTCTTTTATGGCAGTAGCCAGATTAAGTTCTACCTTCTTCCCACCTTTCCTTTGGTGGGCATGGGTCACTCTGATGATAAGAGAAATCTCTGAAAATAAGGAATGTTAGAAGATTACTGGAGTCTTTGGGAGAGGACTTGGCTTATCCTTTGGTTCATGCTCACATGTATTTTCTCATCAACCAGCAGAAAGGGATTCTTGCTACCAATCTGAGGTCAGTATATGGTACAAGGGATGCAGCTGTTTGTAATCAGGGCTATAGTGTTTATCATTGCACTCTGCAAATTCCATGACAATCTGTAACGTGTAATAAATGATGGAAGAAAAGCAGTTCCTAAAGAATTACTTTTAAAAGTTGGGCTTTTCAAAGTGAACATTCTTTTGTGTGCAACAGGAACCTGGATCCACTTCTGTTCTTGGTATAGTGGCCTATTGACTGCTGCCTTGTAACTCCCTAATGGCTTGTGGCTTTATAACCCCTAGGGCTTCTCTTGAAATACCCATATTCTTAATCACTCTCTTCTAACAAACTGTTGCTAAGGAACAGAATCCCCAGTGCCTGCACTTCTGTTTATATAATATCTGGTTTTGGTCTTAGCATGGGAATCACTGAAAAAAAGAACATTATGCTTTTCTTGCCAGTTGGAAACATGGCTTTGAAGGGACCCTAACTGGCCAGCTTCATGTACTACTGTTCCAGAATTTCTTTGAACAGAGCAAGTCTGAAGGCTCCTGAACCTGTTTTATCAGAGAATAATAAAACAACATGGAATATAGTGGCTGTATTTCCAAGAGAAAACCACAAGTGCTGGGTTCAAACCTTTCCATTTAAATGTGGTTTTAAAACAAACCCAATCCTTGCTTTTTTGTAGTAGAGAGCCTTCCCTTCAGTTTTATTTCTAGTTCAGTACGTCTCAGCAGATTCTTGTCTTCAATAGACTCTTCGATGTCATCTTTATATGCACTGAAAACTTTTCTTTGCTGTCGCATCTAAGACTTAGACATGGGTCAGGTCCCTCAGGAATTTCCTCGTTTTGCTTCTGCTGCAGTCACCCTGTCTGCTGTGTTTCACTGTTTCCTGTCCTACCGAGTGTCCTAGAGAGGTCTCCATGAGCAAAGCATGCTTGGTAGATGTGAGAAATTGAATAATTCCTATTTCTTCCATAGTATCTGCATGGTTTAGAATACAGCAGGAACAATCCATCACCCTTAGTAGTGGCAGGACAGAGAAATATGCAGTCTTCCTTCTGCTCTGCCACTGCCTTTTTAATAGGGTCACGGGTCACAACAGCAAAGGAAAATCATGCCCATCTACTGCATTCTAGCAAAAGGGAAAAAAAAAAAAAAAAAAAAAAAAAAAAGAAAAAGGAGAAAGCAATAGGAGGGAATAGGTTGCCCTCTTAAAACTCCTGCCTGGGAGGGAGCGAGTTTTGACATCTCTTGAAAACTGCATGTAGGGATGAGTAGACAGACCTGGGAAGGGAGGATATAAACTTTTTAAATAATGAATTAAGACAAGGAGTTAAGGAAAAGATTCCTAAAGCTGGGAACAGCTGCCTTAGACAACTATGGTATCTGTTTGTATCCCTGAGATGATGAGAGAATATAAGCAGCAACCTGTGGATTACACAAACCAGAAGAAAATAGAGATGAAAGCAAATTTGCCTGGACTCATGTGGTCCTAAATTTTATACAAACCATTTGCACAACCCAGGTATAAGGGGAGGGGGAGTGTAAGAAGTAGGGCTTATTTTGACCAAATAAGGCTTTCTTTAAGTAAGATGGAATTTTTCTGCTTTGGTTTAAAACACATATTTTTGTAAAAATAAATAATTGTGAAGTTGTGTTATAAATTCCAAATGAAGCAAGTTGTAAGCATAAAGGGGGGGATATATGATACAAAGGTGGCTTGTAGCACAGGTTGACACGGAATGTGTGAAGTTGCCAGAAGTACAACTGAGATGGAGAAATATGTACTGTGTCTGGTGATGAAATTTGAAAATTATTTTGGGAAAGTTGGAAGGTGAGATATTAGAAAAGCCAACAATTATTTTAAATTACTATTTGGACTATGTAAATGCCTGCATGCCTCAAGTCAGTGACTGTGACTTTGTTGGAGTAGACTCTCTTTGAACCTATCGGAAAGAAAAAAGCATTGTTAAATTGTTTCCTTCTGAGTAGTTATTACTGTGTGTTGCTTCTACAGCAACACTTACTTAACGCTGAAGTGCAGTGCTCATAAGAGAATAATATGGAAGTGATGCTCTGAAATTGCATTCTATTGAGTGCTAATCTTGGAAGGCAAATTTTAGGTTGGTAAAATAACCTTGGAAAATCAGTTTCTCTTGGCAGGTTATTTATTGGTAGTATAGTAATGAAGTCAGTGTAATGTAGAGCGGCTTGTCTGATCAGCAATTATTTGTACCTCAAGCATGCACAGATCATTCTGATCTAAAGAAATTTACTTTATAACTCACTCTTGCTTTGGGAGGCAGAAATGAGGAAATGCATGCAAAACAAACAGTATCTGCTTTACCATCAAAATGCATTTCTTCAGACCTTCTTAAAATGAGAGCAAAATCATCTGATATTTTTGAATGGAAAAAGCGGTGTGACCTATTCTCCATAAACCTCTCCAATGAGGAACATTGCCCATTCCATTACAGCAAAATATTGGAAGAGCAACTATTTTCTTGTATGTGTGTTCAGTAATTGGAATTTAAGAGAGGGTTTGAATGTTTGGGGTTTTTTGTTTGTTTGTTTGCCTTTTTTTTTGTTGTTTTCAACAATATTTTCCAGTGATTTTAAAATAGTACATTTGGTATAAATTAGTCTTTTAAAGAAGCAGTATGTTATTAAAACAGGAAGGTATTTTAATGAACAGCTTCCTTATGTCAGAATGGAAATAAAACTTGCTTCTTGTCCTTAATTCAACTCGTATTAATCCATATAAAAAAAAAACCCAGAAATATTTCACAAATGGAAAAAATGGTTCAGTGCTACTTTGCGGAAGATGCTAATATTGGTATTCTGAAAGACTGGTAGTATTTAACTTCTGCAGCTCTAGACAAACCAGAGAAGAGCCATTTCTACTTTTAAATAAGACTGGCTTTTTGCAATATTGGCCCTAAGTCTGAACCAAGTATGTAGAAGGAGGCCAAGTAAAGGATGTGCAGCAGGCAATTCGATTATGTCACACTTAGCTAGACTCCCAGGCAAATGACATTAAAGGTATGTGGTTTGCCATGTAGCATCATTCACACTAAAGAATCAGTATCTGCTGCCTCCTATACCTCTCTCAGTTTATACGGAGATTGTAAAGTTACTACTAGGAATAAGACTGTGTACTCCATATTTAATGATGTCTCCTCCCGCATCTCTGAATTGGAAGCAATGCAGTAATTTGCACTGTAGTTTTATCAAAGGTATAGAGAAATATGCACTGAAGTTACTACTGAAGTGTTCGGTTTTCCAGAATGAACTGCAAAGCAGTCCATTTCTTTTGGTCTTTTGCCTCATTCCCTGGACATCGGTACCACATGCAAGCTTACAGTAGGTACTTGATCTATGGGGCCTGTAACTGTAGTAAGCTGAGTCAATATTGTGAATGCATTTAGAAGATATGTAGTTCTTCCTGATTATATCAGTGTAAATAAATGTTTATAGACTGGCTTCTGGTGGTAATCACTGTGAAAACAAAATATTTTTAAACTACTTAGAGCTTTACAGCTGTCACATGCTTGTGAGGTGAAGAATATTTACAGGTGGGGAAACAGCAAGTCAAGAGGAGAAGGTTCCCGATTTCCTGAAGGTAGCAAGGAAGCTGTAGCTCCCATTCTCCTTTTGCACAAACCTCAGCCTTTCTGTTCCAGTTCCCTACAGCTGGGCTGTTATTGTTCATCCCTCTGAAAAATATCAGTACTTTTTTTAATAATAGTGTATGCGTGAAAGAAGTTTCAAATTTAAAAGTAAGATCTGTAACAAAGTATAATTAATGTTGTCACAGCTTTCATACAGAATGTAAGCACATTGCCCAAGGTGAGCATCTGGTCTTGCAAATGACTCAAGTAAATTAACTTGATAAGGAGTACCCTGCTATATATTTAAGATCTACTGTTATGCTTGATAGAATGAGGAGTAAAAAGTTGCATATGCTTTTATTAGTTGAGAAAGTTAAATCTATATAAATGTACTCCATCCTGTAACATGGCATAGAAAAAGAATTAACCTTTAGAGTTGTGTTGGTTGCTAGTGTTTTGTCTTATGCAAGCCTGACCTATGGAGTTAGAGGATTTAATATAATTAAACAGTGCATATGTAGTATGCTTTGAATTCTGAGATTGATTTCAAAACAAAACTGTAGGAATACCTAGAAGGTGATATACTCAAGAGGTGATACAGCTCCATAACATTAGTATTTAGTAGAATAAAATCCTAATACAGTGAAAAATACAGCAACTGTGTGAATTATGGTATTTGTTACTTTTTTTACCATCACAGTTTCAAAGAACATTCGAATCTTTAAGAAATGTATCCAGTAAATCTGATCTACAGAAAACCTACCAGAAGTTTCAAAAAGATCTGGAAAATCTTGATTATTTGGCATACAAACGTCAGCAGGTAAGAACGTGGAAACTTGGTAGGAAGACATAAAATACTGGGCATAAACATGATGGGTGGTAAAACTGATGCATTTGATAGAGTTACTGTTCTATCAGTTGGGTTTTATGCTTTGTGTAATGTCATCAGATAAACCAGTAGGAGGAGTGGCAATTCTATTTAACACATACAGTGTTGGACCACATAGTTTTTGATTTATCAGCAGAGAGAAAGGTAGGTAAAGCATGTAAGTGAGGTATAGCAGACTATTAAGCTTTGCATTAAGACATAAAAATTTTTTTATTTTTAATTAAAGTAATGTTTGGATTTTTTGACTTGAAAAATGAACTAAATCCACATAAGTTAATGGAATCGCATATTGACTGTGCGTACAAACCACTTAGATTTTCTTCTTTAGAAATGAATTTACAAGGCTAGATTGCATAAAACTTTGAAGTGTACTCAGTCTTTAACTCGTGCTTGCAAGATCAAGGTTAAATCTAATTGTTAACATGTATTCAATGTTGGACATACTTTCTGTCACTTATGCATGGCTTATATGAAAATGTTGGCTCTCATAATAGGTCTTCACGTTTTTTGTGTTCTTGGTAAAATAAGACTTTGCCTCTTTCAGAGCATACTGATGAAATACTCTTAACATTTCCAAATGGGGCTTGTTTTGGTTTGTATTTTTCTGATTTCTGTCGCTTGGTGTCAGTGTTGTCAAACACTTCATTTGCTTGGGGGCAGGTGACTTAGAGTTGTTTATATCAGGTAATTGATTAGATAGTTAAAAATTAGGAAAGGGCTCAGAGACAGATGGTGTCTGAACACATGAATATTTGATTGTTGAGATAGGGAGGTCAGGGAGCAATTGGCTTGGGTGAGTTTCAGTGTGGTGGGAGCTGTTATTCTGGTAGCACTATAGCATAGTTCTTTGTGCCCTTTGACATGGGGCTGCCAGCAACCAAAAGACAATGTTTTAACTGGCATCTAATGTGAGTTTATGTCATCTGATCTCATAATGATGTCAAACATAATAGATGTCACGTCTGCAAGGGCTTGGAGAGCATTTCTGAGCCAGGGAAGTGAAAATTCTATAATTACTTCTCAGGCTATCATCACATTTTCATTGAGATAGCTTTCCCTAGTCTGAATTCTCACTCTCGACTTTGCAAAATTCCTTGTTATTTGAAGTAATATATGTCTGGTTCTCTAGCAGACTGAATATGCTTTGATAACATACTTCATTTCAGCCTGAGCAGGGCATCTTTTCTCCTGTTTTCAGATCTTCATTACTCTTCCCATCTCAATACTTTGCACTTTCAAGCCATTTGGAAAATCTCAAGATCCTTATTTGATGTCAGGCATGCATTTATCTCCCCATGCTGTTTCTGCTCTATATGTAACTGTGTTGGCAGTAGCTTTTGCATTTGGAGGTACTAAAGGTGTATTAGGTATAAAATCACATCCTGCTTTCAATCACAGAAGCGAAGATAGGCTATTCTATCTTCTGTTTTGTGATTGAATCTTTCTAAAATTTTATAGAATGCTATTAAGAAAATAAACTAGGTAAAGACCGAAATTATTAAAAAAAAACCCAGACAACCCTGAAACCAAAAACAAATGAGAGAGACTAGAGATGTTCTCTGTGTCTTAGTTAATTTGCATTGTATACCTGATCAGTATTGTTATGGTTTTCTTGAGTAGTATTTACCTGGTTTTGATACTGAGATTTTCATCTCAGTAGAATTTGCTGGAGAATCTGCAGGGAGGGATTTGAAAAGCTGCCATATCTATTTATTATAGAAGATGCTTTGAATTGTGCCCTGCTTTGAAAACAAAGTGATGTCTCTGTGAAAAGGTTAAGATTTGGTTTGATTACTCTGCAAAAATCACAGACATGGACTGGGACTGAAGCTGTTCTGAATTTGTGGCATTCGTATATGAGCTTTTGGAGTGTGTGAATTTAATTGATAATGACTTATTTTCATGGTTTGAGCCTTGTTGGCAGCCAATCACCACGTAGCCACTCTCTCCCTTCTCTTCTGGCAGTAAGAAGGGACAGAGAGCCAGGATTGGGGTTCGAGATAGGACTGGGATGGGGAAAAAATCCCCCTTAATGGGCACAAGCAAAAGGCAGACTCATTAGGGGAAATAAAAAAGAACATACATTTATTACAGACACTAACAACACTTCACAGACTAGAACAGTGAGAAGCATTGCCACATCTTGAGAACACCTTCTCCCCACCCCTCCCTTCTTCCTGGGCTCAGCTCTGCTCCCAATATCTCCACCTCCTCCCCCCAGCAGCGCAGGGGCAGGGAATGGGGGGTGCAGTCAGCGCTGCCACTTCCTTTATCTTCGGATGGGGGAGCTTCTGGAATCTGTTCCCGCTGCTCCATCGTGGTCCCCCTCTCACAGGAGACAGTCCTCCACGAACTTTCTCCAACTTGAATTCCTCCCATGGGCCGCAGCGTTCCCCACACTGCTCCGTCATGGGTCACTAACTTCCTCTGACTGGATTCCCTCCCACGGCTGCAGCCCTTCCCGAGCTGCTCCGGCGTGGGACTCCCCCGCATGCTGCAATCCTCCCAGCGCTGAATTACAGCAGCGGGGCTGCCTTTTCCCACAAGCCTTTGGGCACAGCACCTTGATCAACCAGGTGGAAGCCACAGGCCATAAATCAATGTCTGCTCCACCGTAGATCTTCATGGGTGTCGGGGGGGGCCGCCCTGCCGTCTCCCCACAGGATACAGGGGGGTCTCTGCTCCGGCACACCTCCCCCCTCCTTTCTTCCTCCGTTCCTCCACTGACCTTGGTGTTCATGCAGCTGCAGCAACTCCTCCTCACCAGTCCCACTGCCCGTCACCACGTCCCTTCTTAAATACGTTATCGCAGAGGGGCAGCTGATGGGCTCAGTTTCCAAACAGAGGTGGAGCTGACTTGGAGCTGGGGGAGCTTCGAGAAGCTTCTCACAGGGGGCTGCCCCTATAGCCCCCTCCCCTGCCACCAAAAAACTCCACCACTCACTCAACCCAGGACACTACTCTCTTATTAGACTAAGCGCATATTCATAGTCCCAATGGCAAAATGTTGAGTCACTACCACCTGTTTGGAGCCAAACAATTGTGAATATGAATATGAATCCATTCATGGTAAAGTAAGTGTTTTATGTAGTCAAAATAATGAATATTGCTTTTGAATGAAATACAGTTGTCTGCTTCTGTCGTTATTTTTTAGACATGAGACATAAAGCGCAATATAGCAATGTAATTCTTCGGTGGTGAAGTTTACAGGACAGATGGGAAATTAAACCTGTGCTTTTAAAAAAGATATTTAAAGTGACCCACGTTGCCTCTGATTTATAAATATAGACCAAACTTCTGTGAGTGGTACTAGTATACAAGAGGCAACCATGTTTGGGATGATGGTTTATATTAAGTCATTTTTAACTGGCAATTTTGAGAATGGGGTTGAAAGTCTTAAGTTTTCAGACAGCTAGCAGATTGCCAACAGAAATGTCTCTTGAAAATGGGCAGTGAAGTCAAGAATTCAGTTATGGCTTCCTTTATACAAAAATCCCACAGTTGGTAGCATAGGTTGGTCAAACTTCTCAGAGCTTTCAGATTCTAACTTTGCAAATAGGCTCAGTATATGTATTAGTTGGCATGGAGCTGGTCAGGGTGGCTAAATTCTTTGGTGATTACAGAGGAGAAAGAGGGGAAGTTCTTGGAGTTGAAGACTTTAATGTTGCAAAACTGAACTGTGTGGATGACAACTAGTGTTGTGGTCAAGAAGCCTGAATGATGCTCTTCTCTATTCTTCTGTGTCCCAAACACAATATGAAGTATTGAATCACATTCATATGCCAGGTGTAGTTACTGTTGCTGCCTGTGATGGACTCCTACCCTATTCAATTCTGCTCCCAAATACATTGCTTTGTGTCAGACCTTTCCTTCTTAATGTTGGCTAGTGGGACACACATCTCCATCTCTACAGGCTTGCCATACTTTTCCAAGAGATATGGCTTATTAGCCAGGTTAGTTGAAAGTATGTTGAACTCGGGCCAGATGAAGATAAAATACAAAGAAAATATTTATACCGAACAGTGGAATGTAGGCTGACCCCTTGCAAATATTGATAAATGATGCAGGTGAAGACATGCACAGGATCTGCTCACACCCAGGTCATGGCTGCTTGGTCAGCCAAGCCAAGTCCTGGCTACTCCAGATTCACCCACAGCTCTGGCATGGGTTTCATGTTCCTGTGCCTTTCTTCCCATTCTAACATTTGTGTAACACTGCATAGAGATGCCTCAGTGTGCTAAACTGACTTAAAATTAGCTGTTTTTCAGTGATCTCATTATTTTGTTAATTGGTTGGTTGCTCACTTAGCATTCTCTCCCCCCGAACCCAATGAATGTCCCTTCATCCCTCTAACTTGCAGTGACCTAACCTTTCTGCATGCTTCTAGGGCTGGGTTACATCCACTAGAGAATTTCATTTGGGTTAAGGATATCAGTTTATGGTGAGTCTGCCATTTTGAAGCCTTCTAGGAGATACCTGTCTCCAAGAAAAGTAGTTTTTCTTTCTTGTCCAGGAGATAGTTTTTAGTTCCATTTCAGAGATGATAGTATCAAGGAAATTTAATGCTTGTTTTAATTAAAAAGAGCTGTCAGACTAATAGCTCTGTGACACAATAAGTAGTAAGAATCTTCTCTTGTGCTCTGATTTGTTGCAACATTTCCAGTAAGAGTGAAATAAGCTTTACATGAAGCATTTTTTTGTATCAACCTAAATATTAATGCATCTGAAATAGGAATATTTACAAGGGAAATGAGATAGGACAAAATGGTAAAGCACTTTGGGATAAGAGGGGACTCAGTGCTAGATCCCAACAGTTTTGAAGTAGGTGCATGCTTCCTTTTTTCTTATATGGGACATTGTTCCTATTGAAGGGAAGTTGTCCATGTATTGTTCAGCTGGAACAGTGCTGGTTTAAGGCCAGTAATTATAAT